TCTTCTTGCAGGTAGCATTTCCGAAATGATAGGTTCCCCCATGGGCTCTGATATACTGAGCCACCCTCTTCCATGAAACCTTTGGCAATTGATTGTCAGTGCGAGCCCAGCAGAAGGAGTAACGGCTTTTGTCATGGCCCGTGGTTTCTGACAACCCGTTAACCGCTTCACAGAGAAGGCGAATCTACCGTGAATCAGTACCAGCTTTAATGCACACCTAGGAGGATAAAAGGAAGTAACCGGGATAGGTGACTTACGTCGTTTTGGTGCCATTGTGGCTTCCTCACGCGTTGCTCTTTAGACTTTGTCAACGTGCGGAATCTGCCACGCAGAGTCGACTCGGCCTCCTTGAAACCGCCAATCCTTTTAATATCTTTATAAGACAACCCACGGAGCTTACAGTCGATTAAGAATGCGTTTCTCTTGTCGCGGAGGCACGTAAGTGGCCTGCCAAGTAGTTTCCCCTGATTAACATGGCTTATGTCACTGAAACTCGGTAGCGGCCAAGGCTCATTAAGTCTATACCGGCCCTCATAATGTTGATAGGAATTGGTGATAGGAAAGGATTCATTCCACCTTTGGTTGGCTGCGCATCCACTTCCGATCGAAAGCATGGCCGGGCAATCAGCCCTTTGGGAGTCCCATGGGTGGAGTAGGGACTGGGCAGTGCTTGAACCGTCATTCTCAAATGTGGACGGATCCAGATGAAGGTTCGCTGCCGCAAGCTGAGCCAGTGCGCTGTTGATTTCTCCGTAAAATTGCGCCTCATTCGACAAGTTCCCTGCGTCCCATATGGATAGACCAGAACTAGTGTCTTCACTGGCTGAGTGCGATAATTGATGAACCTGTGCAGCTAGCAAAGGAAGCGATGTGCTAGCTGCATCAAGAATGCTATCTGCAGCTGGTGCTGGAATCTCAAGTGACGATCTTGGGGACTCAGATACTGCTACTTCTTCCACGCTTGACCAATCTCCTTCAAGAAGAGGCGCACTGTCCTGAGATATGCATTCATCGAGGATGGTTATGGGTGCCCTGTGTGGTGTTTTCCCCTCCGCCATAAGGGGTGGGACGGGCTCGCTGACCGCAAAATGATCATTCATATCATCGGCCTGGTGGTTTATATCAGAAGCAGCATCACTGGAATAGAGATTATCATCGGCGAATGATGTCTGTGGGACGTGTGGGTGGGCATCAAGGATCTCGAACTGACAGCCATCCTCAACTTTGATGAAGTGCATTATCTCCTGCGGCTTGTTGTGATGAGTTTGCTCTTCAGATAGAAACTGAAGTCCGTGTGCTGCTGCTGCGGTTCTTCCGGGTTCGAAGATTGAGTAACCGTTGGGAAAACAATAAGGGCACCCTATCTGGGGCAAGTCTCTCATTGTCATGTCGTTGCTCGCCATATTGATGAAATGTGCATGCAGTTGCTTGTCGTTCTCCATGAGGTGATGTGTCTGTTCGTCTTCAAGGTGTATCACAGAGAGCTCTGAGGCGGTGTCATGCCAGGTAGAAGGTCTTCCATGGGAGAGTGACTCGCGGTTGTCTAGGAAGAAGAGATGGGAATGAGAGTCCAACGCATTAAGGCTTTCCTTAACGGTAACTGCCTTTCCGTCTCTTGAAGCGATCAGGACGCGCAGCATGGCTTTAAACAAAGACCAATATCTTTCTTGCTCTCTTCACCGCTACTGTCCCCTATGTTCTGGATAGACGTTGGGCAAATACTATGCATTGGATCCTGGTGTCAGGTCATGCACGCTATCAGGCTACTAGGCCACCTGCAGGGACTGTTGTGGCTGCTCAGTACACCAAGATCTATATGGAGGGGTTTCACTTTCTCGGATGACTCACCAATAAGGGCTGAGTGTTGATAACTCTGCGATTTTTTGATTTTCAAAATTGGGTTGAAAGGAACCAATGACAGAAGGTATCAAGATCAGACGGAATTTCCCTGAAGGCAACACGACTGAGCGGTGGAGGAAGTAGTGGACACAAGGCGCCTCTGACGGTGTAATTCCCGCCTTCTCTGCAGTTGTTCGACGACCGAATGAGTGATGCTTCTTCTTGTCCGCCACAGATGGAATGGCAATGATGTCTCAGAAGTCTAGCCTCTTAGGCAACAGTTACCATTCGAGAAGTAGCTGGACAGGGTTCATGGAACTCACGGTTCGTTCTATGAGAGGTGATGTCTTATCCAACGGAGGATGTAGAAGGCTGTCTCCGTCCCCAAGGAAAGGTAACGACACAGCACCGCGCTCGAGGACAAAAGAGATCTGACTCGAGAACACCGGGGCTTTCCAACATCAATATAAAGCCATATTGATGACCCTTTCACGCCCTCGCGCATTAGCTCCTAAATTACATGGCTACCATGTTCCGATATGGCTTGAACTGTTCGCATCGCCGGGAGCTTAACCCTTGTTCTTTCCAATATTATATCGGCGTGAACGCTAGAAAATGCTGATCGAAGCACACTAAACTTTTCTGTTCAAAAAAGGCATGGGGATTACGGAACAAGATCAATCACTGCACATGGTTCGGTTTAGCATAATTTCCCAAACTCCCATAACGATCAGTCAAACTCTTCTTTTGCAATCTGCCGCGCATGGTCCGAATGACGATCCTGGAAAGAAGAGCCATCTTCTGTGGCGCAGAAGATGAACTCTAGGAAAAGGGAACTCAATGTCCTGGTGTTCAGACGAAGTTGTACTGGTGTGGTTGTTTTGCAGCAGTGGACGCTAATCGGGTAGCCACATAGGGCTTTGTTCGCACATCCGCTTTATCCTACCATCCTCAGGCGATGCGGTGGCTGCGACCTCATACCAAAGAATTCAGAACATCTATTACCTCCAGAAAATAGGACGTTTGGCCGGACGGTTCGGAAAGCTCCCGTTCGGATCTGCAGGTATGGTTTTCTCCGCCATTGGCTCGACTGACATGCTTTATCTGACTGCTGTCTTTTGCCCTAACAGCTGTGGAATTTTTAAACCCGCGCTACCGCACAAGCCGGAATCAAACTGCATATGCAGATCATTCCCATCATTCAGGTATCCACCAGAGCTCAGACAACTGCACGCTATTTAGGGCCTATGTATTCTGAAGATCAAAAGTGCCGCAGAAGCTGTTCCCATGAAGACCAATAGCAAGAGAGCAAGTAGAAAGTTGGAGAAAGAAGCGTCCGTGTTGGTCCTGCACGATAAGGTTTCCCGATTCACCGCTTGAAGCCATCCAAGTACATTGCACCCCAGCTTTCACCAGGTCCTGTCAGCCCCAAACGCTTCTGCATCCGTCATTGTGCAAATCAGACGTGCCCATCTGTCATGGCGAAGCAGTGGGCGCAAATGTCGGTCGGAGATTAAGCTTAACCCGCTCTTCAAGTCAAATGTCGGATGGGTCTCCGGTTTGCTCCCTAGACCCCAGAGAAGTTGAAGTCCAGCTTGAGAGGTCGATAGGATCTGCATGAGCCATTTCTTCCGGACATCCAGCCCGATGACAGGGTACTTATGAAACTTACATCATACGGCACCTACAGATACATTTCTTTTTTTTTCATCTCACGGTACTTTCTGGCCTCACTTCCACCCACTGTCGTCTCGCACAATGCAAGACAAGGCAAACAATCCCCGATCAAGAACAAAAGAAAAAGCAAATACAAACCACACTCAAACCCCCTTGATCCCTACCAGGATCAGATTTTCTTCCCCGCACGATCGTTATTTCGCTCCGTGTGGCTCATTGCAGATCTATCATGTGCACTGTATGTTTGCACCTGCTGGAAATCCTACGTATAGCCTGTGTGGGTCTTCCTTCCCCCGGACACCATCCCCAAGCATGTGCACATACACACGCGTACATGTATGTATGTGTGCACGGGCTGCGAATGGGCTTTCGTGACTTACCGGGGGTTGGGGGTGGAATGGGGTGGTGACAGAACTAATTTCCTCCATAGACAGGGGAGCTTACTAGCCTGCCCAAGGTCAACACAAGGAAGAAAGGAAAGACAGAAAGTACTGACCTGGTCTGGCCTAGCCTGACGCACTGGATCTTCTGAGAGTTGCACACACCTTCCCTGCGGGAATCCCGGATGTTGGGTAGAAACGGTGACACCGTCGGGATGAGCATGTTTCACGGGTTTCACCTCACCCTTTCCTTTTCGCTGAGAGACTAGACCAGTCCAGCACGGTCCCACTCACCACGTATCCTTGAGGAACAAACCGGAAAAACAAAAATAAGAAGAAGAAAATTATTAAGGAGACACAACGCGTGGGATGGTGGCGGTAGGGATCTGAGCGTCCCCCATTGATGATGACAATAACGGGATTATTCTACGACCCTCTGCAAATACCCGGGATCAGCATGCGAAAGACTAGCTCAGATCGACGGAGCTTGAGCCTGAAGAGATTCGGAGAAATAACAGAATTAACTACGGTGGGGACTGTTGCTGCTAAGGAAGCAAGTAGGGAAGGAAGACGGCAGTAGTCTTTCTCTTATGTCTGTTCCCGCTGCAGCTGCCATTGTTCCGGTTTGCTGACGACGGGCCTTCCTGCTGCTGCTGCTGCTGCTGCTGCTGCTGGCTTGCGGCAATGGCGTGTCCGTCTTCTTTGGAATCTATTTTCCGGTTTTACGCAATGAGCGTGGATCGTGACTATAATCTGCTTGCAATGTGCTTTTTTGCTATTTTGCTGTACATGGCCGCGTCAAGAAACCCCGGCTGGTCGAGGCGTGAATGGAGGTATTCCTTCCTACTGGGAGCTCGGGAACTAATTTGTTGTTTCCACATGTATGTATGCTAGAACCCTGCGCGAGTGTCGGTAGATGACAGTTCCATCCCTCAACAGCCTGGCCATCCATTGCCCTACGCAAAGTGGATAGATGGTTAGATCGTCGCAGACCCCCGCTGGCCGCTCTTTTTCCGGCCCTTGGTATAAGGATATGATTGTACAGGGGATGATAGTTCATGCAGGAAAGATAGTAAGTAAAGAATGGGGTCCGCCAGGGTAATTTCAGGGTACTTCGCTTTCCTGCGTCCGTCCGCCGTAGCTCTGGTACCGGTCCAAAAGCCGGTCCATCAGCAGCACTGTGACTTTCGTCAGCAGATGGATCTAAGCATGCTCTCCATCCCCAATGCATGGCTGGTAGCTCACCCATGAACAATGTAAGAGTAAACGCATACAATATGGCGGGGGATGTCATGAAAGAATAGACGAGCGGAAAGTGACGAGAGAAACTCATTAGGCTTCCCAGGAGCATACCAAGGGACACGCGGGCCGCTGCGCTGATGCCCATACATCTGCGGAGCGTGTGGCGACGCGCTAATAATACAAAAGCACCAAAGAACATCATGGAGAGTGACGCCACGGCAAAATAGTACACATAGACGAATTCTAGGAGGGCCATATACCCTCTCAGCAGCTGCTCACTACTCATGCGGCCAGGATCAGGGTGGTTCGGAGGCATGATCCGCATGGTGGAGAACAGCGCCGCAGTTACATTCCCTACCAGGTCACTGAGCATGTCTCGGGCGATGGGGACTTGGCCCGTCCGACGGGAGGGACAAAGCGGGTGATTGGGGAGATCATCCAAGATCCGGGAGATTGTAACCTGTTCGTTTACGGCCCCTCGGCTATAGTCGATTTCCATATCAGCAATGGTGGCTCGAAGAATTCGGATGGCGTAGGCGGGTCTGGGCCGTGGGTCTTCACAAGCCCACATAATGGTTTCCGCTAGGTACCGGAGTTTCAATGTGATATCCAGACTTAAGGCAAGGATTTGAGACCCTTCAAGGAGTAGAATGAGGACCACATGGAATGGGAAATGTAGCTGCGCCCATATTTGCTGAGAGTACTTGCCCAGAATACGTCTTGGAGAAAGGTCGAAGTACGCTTGCCACAAGAAGTACTGAGATTGACATGTTAGGATTCAGATTAGAATAGAACTGAACAGTGGGTCAGTCAATCATCGGGGCCATACCACACTAGTTGTGACGCCTAGGATATGGACAAACGACCACTTCGTCCAGACACCAGGGCCTACTGTCCGGTTGACGAGCCTAGTAACAGATATGACACCTTCACCGATTATGATCAGAGTAAGGAGGCCCATTCTTGTGTTGAGATGGGTATCTTGAAGTCCAATCCCAGGTGTGGCGCTTGAAGTTCCCATTACTACCCACATCTCGACCCCAAAGATAACAAACCAGACGGTCCAAATATAGGGGTTGACTCCTTCACGGGGACGGAAGGCATAATACATCTACAGCAAGTCAGTTTGACAAGGGTACGAGCTAACCGATGGTTGTCTGCCTTGGGTAACTTACCAGGAGGTAGGTCAAACTTGAGACAAATTGCATCCCGGCAATGATGGATACGCCCCGAGCTGCAGGTATCATACGCCGTCGAAGAAACACGGCGTTCACAGTGTATTGCAAGGCGAGTAAGAGCCGACTGCCACCGAGGATGAGGCTCAGGGACTGGAAGGCCCAGACATTTTCTGGCTGAACACGTGTAGTGAACCTTGAACCTGCCGATGCAAATCCAACCATAGCAGCCAATTGAAGGGCCTTGCAAATTCTCTCGAAGATCGAGTCTCGCGCGAAACGGATATCAAACAGTGTGACTTGAAGCCAGGTAAACCAGATAATCCCGAGGAAGCCAATGTAGGCCCACAGAGCTGGCATGCAGTATCAGACTGTGATCAAACCATGTTGGAGAGCTGTTATACCTTCTACGTTGTTAATTTCATGTGTAGCTGTGAAGGTGGAGAGATTTGCGACGAAGAACAAGTCAAAGAACAGCTCGATGGGTGTTGCCTCGGATTGTTGACGGAGATGCGGAAGATCTCCATCCTTCTCGTCAATTGGCGACTCAATGAACGCAATGACACTACGCTGCCTATTGAAGTTAGGAAATCATCTAAGTACCATCTCTCCTAACCGAAAGACCAACTTACTGCGTGGCTGCTCTGGCACGCCTATCTCTACTCGACGGGTGGTCAAACCAGGACTTGAAGGGTATTAGTATCATAGTGATGGGCCTTAGGGAAACTAGACAACTAAACGATGGGTATCATGAAATATGGAGTAAGAACAGTCCTGGTCGGTGGTCGTCAAGACATTGGCGCAGTCGATCGGTTTCGACACGAAGAGCAACTGGTGTTGTCTCGGAAAGAGCGATGGTGATACTCTTGGACAGGGACTTCAGAGAGGCAGCCACCGCAGACTGTGCGGCAGGCGTCAATGAAGCATTTTTGAAGCATCAAGGCTCCTCATGCTCAGAATTGTTTGCAGATGCTGTCACCGAATTTCCAAGACCCTCCAAGCCTCGCGAATTCGCCATTTCATCGGCTGTAGAGAGGTTCCCATCCGAGCCAGGAGTGATTCCAGCCTCCTGCTTAAGCTTCTCGTAATTATCTCCGGCTTCTTTGATCAGAGCCTGGATTTCCACTTCCCGAACAGCTATGTCCGCCTTCTCTTTCCTCAGTTCCTCCATACGGTCGATCATCTGAGCCTTTGACTTCTCTAGGACCGCCAAGTTCATACGCAAACGCTCAAGTGAGTTCGACAGACGGGGTAACGAGGTCATCTTGGGCGGAGTGCGCGGACGGTCGATAGGGTCTCTGCTCGCACCCATAGCAGCTCGTGCCTGACTGGCGTCGTACGCTGCTTTTTCCTCCAAGTCCGAATCATCCTCATCCGACAGACCTTCAGCATCATTAATAAGCTCACGCATTTCTTCCCGCTGTTTTCGCTTTTGCTCTTTCTCTGCTTTCCTCCCAAGGGATATACGTCCGTCCTCAACAAACTCGTCAAATCCTTCTGCGAAATCTTCATCGTCACGGACGAGCCTCGTATCCTCCCGCCGCGCCTGAAGATCCCAGTCGTCCTCTTCCATATCATCCTCGAGAGAAATGAAGTCTTTCTCGGTGGAAAGCGCCGCTTCTTCCTTCGCTAATCGGGCTCTTCGAGCTTTCTTTTCTCTAATCTCTGCTTCGCTGGGAATAGCAGCAGGGGTTGAAACCTTCATGACCTCACCAAACTTGGCAGCCACATCAATTGTCTTCTCCAATTCGTCCTCAGCGGCGGGCTTCGGCGTAGAGGGTGTCGAGTTTCGGAGCTCTTTTAGATATTCGTCGTTGTAACTCGGCCTATCCTGCTCAGGCCCTACCCGGAGGGGGATCTGACCACCTGCGCCTGACGGTGTCAAAGATCGCTGCAATGCGCTCTTCTCTATAGCCCGTTTCGCGAGCCCAGGTCGTTTGGGAATGACAACTTCGCTTTCCTGGTCGTCATCGTCGGCCATCGAGGTACTGCCGGGGCCGAACGAAAGGCGCATCTTCGACTTTTGCTTCGTTTTCGAAGTCGGAGGACGTTTGACAACAGGTCCAGAGTCTACCAGCCTTCCATTAGTATATCCATCACGTAAAGTTGAGCTTGATCGCAGATACCAACCTTGCTCGTCGGCGTCATTTTCCTCATCATCGCCACCAATTTTGCGGGGCTTTCGGCGATTTGCAAATTGGGAACTCATTGTCAAAGCGAATGAAAAAGCCTAGTAATCTCCTTGTTCAAACCGAGTCTCCAGCTATAAAATCAGCCAAAAGCCTGAAATATGAAACCCCGCTGGCGTCACTTGCAGCTCCGCGATTCTTTGGAGCTTGCGGGAACATCGTTCTTCCGGGCCCAGCTGATTCCCACTGCTTGTATCTCAAAGTTCCGCAACGCGCCCGACTCGCCGTTACGATAGGACAGTTAGACCCCAAAACACACTATTCAACATGCCTCAAGCCCAGCCCGAGTTGAAGAAGGTACGAGAATCGCGATTGATATTCGGCCAACCTTCCCCCGACACAGAGCACTTAAGCTAACATTGCGGTTTTCCAACAGTACATGGAAAAGCGGGTATTCTGCCAACTGAACGGCAACCGCAAAGTCATTGGTATCCTGCGAGGCTATGATGTACGTCGCGCCTGTGTCCCTCTGTTCCTACTGCTCTGCCTGCTGTGTTGCTGTTATACGGGTTGATGTGCCTTGGATGGTGTCGAATATCGGTGATATTCTTGGTTCAATCCGTGGGGTGAAAGAGGGGGCGGGGAGAGTGTGTGTATGTGTGTGCAGATTACTGACGTCTGCGCTTTTATGATCCAGGTGTTCATGAACATCGTCCTTGATGAGGCTTTCGAGGAGAAGCAGGGTGGAGAGAAGGTCGCTATCGGAATGATTGTATGTGACCATTCCCATTCCCGGACGTTTACGTTTGCCTTGGAAACTAGGAGGGGCAGGAAGCTAATGATGGTCTGTTCGTCTTTCTAGGTCATTCGCGGTAACTCGGTTGTTATGCTCGAGGTCAGTATCACCTGCCATAGGACCACGTTTAGTGGTGTACTTATCAGGAGACTAATCTGCTGTTCTAAATAGGCCTTGGAACGTATCAGCGACAAATAAAGTGCTGCGGGTGGACGGGGAAAGTCAACATGTCTTTTTATACCTTCACTGTGGGAAATGATTTAATTGCAACGGAGTTCACGGGTTGGTTGCTCACGGAATGATCGATGGCATCTCGCTTTCAAAAGGAAACAGAAAAGAAAGAAATCTTCATTTCAAACAATTTACGAGAAACACTTTACGCACAAAGAGATCTGAAATATATCAGATTACGGCATCCTTGCTTAAGAGGGAGATGGGTGCATTGTGACAACGCAATGATCCATGACAGCTAGTCAGTTATGGTCTATCATTTTTTTCTCGGCAAACCAATGCCCAACCCATCCCACCGGCAATAATCAAATGTGCCTCTGGAACTAGATAATACCCTGTGGAGATAACCCAGAATACTAGAAAGAATAATAAAAGTGAAAAAAAGAAAACCCCCACGCCATGCATCTCCTTGACCTGAAATCAGCCCACCTCCGTTCCCAAAGTCCAAACAATGTAGAATGAATGAAGCTATACGAGTTAAAATTGGTATCTAGAATTTTGTGTAATGAAGACGGCTGTGAGTAAAGTTGAGCTCATTTCGGCTTCTGGCCGAATTTCAATTTCAGCTTGAACCCACCGCCACTGGGCGTGGATGGGGTAGATGGTGCAGTCGTTGGCTTAGGCTGTGCTGACGAAGCTGGGGAGGGAAGGTTTGGAATGTGCAGCTTTGTTGGAATATGCTGCGATGATGGCTTTGGACTGAATGGTGTAGTACTGGATGCCACCTTGGACTGCTTGAATGTAATACGAGGGCCCGGTGGTCCCATGCCTTGCTCTTCGCGCTTGCGTTTCGGGGCGGCTGTTGTATCTTTTGAGGGTGTGAGTGTCGTGCGGATTTTGTTTGTTCGGACGAAGTGCATGCGTCCCTGGGTTTGAGTTAGCAATCATTCAGTAGAAATGTTGTTCTTCATGTTACGTACCTTTCCGAGATGCTTCACGGTCCAGTAACGGGGGTATTTCAGAGACACCATCCGAGTCGTGATTGCGTCATAGAGAACCCTGCAAAGATCGGTAAACTCGGAGAGCTCGAGTATTCCGATGCAGGGAGAATTGCACGCCGCCCAAAGAGATTCTTTCAGCAGTTGATCGCCGGAGATCTCCTTCTTGAGTGCATTCAAGGCTCCGGTAACTGTCTGTCTCCGGGCAAGGTCGGCCTGGCGGACCTCGGTTGAAGACTCCTGCTCGATAATCAGGTTATCGGTGTTGCTAGCAGGCGCTTCCTCCTTAGTTTCCCGGCCAAAGGCGACTGGTGCGAGAGCCTTTCCGAACAAGTTATGTAGGCGACACCTGATAAGGGCAGAAGAGTCGTTTGACATGGTGAAAATAAACCATCGCAGTAGTTCGGGGTATTGGAAGATGTCAAGCTCAATGAGGCATTCAAACGCATCCAAGCGGAGGAGATCGTATGTTCCAGCTCGAGTATACGGCAGAAATTGCATAATATCGAGGCTCAATATTTTGGCCTCCATGAGACGCACTTGGCAGCGCAAAGCGGCGCGCGAATAGATGTTCTGAAAAGAGCTGGACCATTCATCCATCCTGCGATACCTATCAATCTCTGCAATGGCATCTTTCTCCAATTGTTCTTCTGCCTGAGCCTCCAATACACGCTCCATGTCAAAATCGTCCATCTCGTCCGAGGGCCGCTCAGGCTTGCCCAACATAGCATGGCATAGCGATTCCATCAAGGTCGCGACATAGAAGTTGTCCGAATACTGTCGCAGCATAAGCGTCGGGTCAATCAGGCAATGGCTCATGTACTCACCTCGTTGTTTGAGTTGTCGTTGAACTTCAACTTGTCGTAAAGAAAACGCTTGACCCGCATGGGTGTTTTGCCGTTACTGTCGCGTACTTTAGATATGGACTCAGGAATGGCTAATTGAATAAAATATGCTGCTCTGTCAGAGAAGTCATTGGAGCGAGTCATTGGGGATCCTGGAAGGCAGAACAGTTCTTGGAAAGCTCTTTCGAGGTGGAACAATCCAACCCATTCAACAGCTTTTGTAGCATGTTTCACCAGAGCTCGAGCGGCAGCCACCCGAATTCCGTAGAAATATCTTCGATCCATCAGTGTTCTGACGAATATGGTCGAAATGAGCTCGTGCTCTCGCTGGATCGCCATATATTGCAATGACTGGATATCATATATTATCAGTTCCAGTCCAGTCACCTAATGAGTAAAGGGGTTGACTGACCTCCAGCTGCGCTACAACATCTCGATCTTGCTGAAGCTGCGACAGGTACATGTACCCTGGCATCGCCAACGAAAGCTTGCATATCCACTCAAAATCTGCATCCATGCGAATCCATTCATAGGACTCTCTGCTCATTCTCTCTTCCTCTTCTTCGCTCCAATCCCTTAGTTTCCATTCAGCAACCTCGTCTTCGGTCTGCAAAACGTCACCGAGACAGTAAAGCAGAACATCTTCCTGAGCTTCGGCATTAGGATCGCCGCCTGTTACGGCAGCTGCACGCTCCTTTTGTCGCTTGTTTCGTTTGAGACGCTTGTACTTGGTATTATAAGGTATGTCGAACTTCGTAACACCCTCCTTGATTTCCACGATGTGTTCATAAGGCGTCCCATCAGCTTCGTGAATTCTAATGGTCATGGATCCAGTAAAAACCGGCTGGATGACTCCTGCATAGACGCCCCGTATTTCTTCCTTGACATCCCTCATGAACGCATTCTTGTCTAAGTCGCGCGTACTTGAAGCATCAGCTTGCACCTGCCGGATCATCATTTCAACCACGAGCTTCTTCTTGTTGAATCGCTGCGTGGCTTGGAACCGAGGACATCCCGCCCCGTATACCCACTGCTGGAAAAATGAATCAAGCTTTGCGTGGCCGAGTCGCTCACATGTTCTCTGGAAAAGGGAAGTCGTGACGGCACCATTCGGTATGTCACCCATCCGGGAGTTCAGGAAAAGACGGGAGATGATGCGCGACATCGTTGCCTTGCCACTCGCTTTCGTAAGTCTCCGGTCCAAGATGAACAGAACGAGCGGGGCCTTGAGCGCTATGAAATCAATTTCGGACGGATCTATCGTCAATATCGTACCCATGTCGTAGAGCGACGGACGTTCGTAGTCCAGCTCACATACTCTATCAGACATCTGTTTCAATCGAAAGCGATATTCATTATTCCCGCAGAGCTTCCGCATGAACGTATCCGTGATGTACCAGGCGACACCGACCGTTACCCATGTATCCGTCGCCTCTTTTGGCACGATGTTTACACCAATCCACTGACAGGATAGGGCGTGAACCAGGCTGCGAGTAGAGTCATACATCGGGTCGATTATGTCTTCGGGGAACAAGAGGCGGCTGCTACATATCGATAAACAAGCCGTGGGCAGTGTGGCATCAGGTGTGTCGTCCACGAAGCATATCTTATAGCTAGCGAACGGGTACGATCCATAAGACAGTGAGAAAAAGTCAATCGCCTTCGCCATAGGAAAGCAGGTATTCCTGACTTCATCTCCTCTTCCCGGGAGGCAAAATGCGTGCAACGGTATGGCGTTTAGACCAAGCTGTTCGTCTTGATCGCTTTCGCGGAAATCGGAGAGGTTGATGTATTCGAAGGGACCTACGGCAAATCCAAGTTGCTGGGCAGATAGAGGGGAGTAGCAGGCGAACGAAACCGTCTTCTTGGTAGGGTCCTTGGGGTCGATGATTTCATCCGTCAAATCCCCGGAACAGACGACAGACAAATCAAGAGTCTCATCATCCGGAGCGATATACCTTTCATGTCCAGAAGCAGGCTTCGAGCGACTGGGACCCGAGGCGCCGGAATGATCACGGGATTTACGATCAAACATATCACCTAAGGAGCACGGGCACTTGATCGAGAATTCCCACGTACAGCGCGACAAAGGATCGTCGACGCAGGGGAAGAGAGGACAGCAAGCGCCATACCCTAGGGAGTTGGTTGTATAAGCGTGAGGATAGCGTCTGTCGCCACTCTCTAATCCGACAAACTGCAACCCATCCCGAATATTCTCAATGACGAAGTCGATGGTAACCGTGAGGGCCGTAAAGCGTGGAAGTGACGATTCGGCTGTTTTGGCGCTTGAAGGTCCTTCTGCATCATCAGCGGAACCCGTAGCACGTAAGGTCATTTGGTCTTGAGCTTCAATCGAGGAGGGATCAAGTTCGTCGATCCGGACGCTCTTGGGGACCGTAATGAGAAGGTCAGATTCTGGCGGAGATTTGAGTAGTCCATCTATCTTCGTCGCGAGGCGCTGGTGATAATGAGGGCCGTAGAGTTGAAGCGTGTCATAAGGGTCCGTGTATTTGATGCTAGGTACCTTGCCACTGACATTGATACGCCGGAGTTCGCCTTGTCGGAAATTTAAACGGATAACGCGAAGGTCTTTGTGATGCGGATGGATCGTGAGTTCCGTTTTTCCCTTGAGGCTCTTGCTGGCAAAATCGATCTCAAGCTCGACCTTCTGATGCGCGACGGTGAATCCCAGTTCCGGCCTGACAGGCCCAGCTGGGGTCTCCACGACGCCTGGCATGGCGCAAGATACTCAGTCGTGCACTGCGCCGCGAGCGCCACGATGGCCAACTACCGTCATGTCCAAGCTCCAGGAGCGATGACTATTCCCACCCGACCGCGTTGATCCCGACAGACACTTTGAGTATGATGGTGTTCGATCTCGTGTAGGCGGGGGCGAAGAGACTGTTCACTGGGAAGAGATGGAGAGCTGCTTCGACGGGCGGGGAACAACACCGAAGGGAAGCAAGCGTTCGAGGTGACCTTGACACTAAGTGAGGTTTGGCACGAAAGGACCGTTCGTGAGGACGGGGATGGGGAGGGATAGAGGGGAGACTGGAATGAGGAGTAGCACGAGAGGAGATGGACGCCCTGGAATCGTCCCTCCAACAACCATCAAACTGAACAATCGCTTTTCTATCTTTTTGCCTGTCGCGTTTCTCTTTGCGGTCGAAAGCTTCCCTGCGGAGCTGGCACCGCCACGTGATTCCGATCCGCGGATGGCGCGAGGAGCCGCCCGTTCGTTCCTCTTTCGGTGCCGCATCGTCAACCGTTCGGGTCCCTTTTTAACCTTTTTCTAAAGCCTTGTATTCATTCCCCTTCTCCCCTATACATCCCCCCTCCCTCTATCTTGCAGCATTCCGTTGTCTGTATTTCCCCCCTCATTCATATGCGATAGAGCGTTGACGTTGTCCGTTTGATTGCGCTTTGGTTGCCTTCCCCCATCCCCGTCTTGTCCGTCTAGTCGCATACCGCGCGATATGAGCCAAGTTTGATTTCTACCCCCCAGATAGTCTTTTCTTTTTTTTTCCTTGCCCCAACATTCCAGCTGTACATTCGAAATCAAGATGAGTGTAATATTTAAAAAGATCCAAGGTTCGTAATATCTTGCTGCAGCACTCATTCAGTCCAACGTAACTGTAGAGCTAATTCGCGTCGCGCATTGCATAGCGATCCAAGACTCGCTTTCCGACGACGTGCTCTTGCCCCTCAAGAGCTACAAGTACTCGAGTGTCGATAAATCCTATATCTCCAATTATATACTGAGGCATTACGTACTGCCGCCCTGGTCCGATCTATACTTCATACCCTGACGCTGACATGGGCGGGTTAGTGGAATGCATTCGTCGAAATCTTGCCGCTTTGGCTGGCCCCCAACATGGTCACTCTCTTGGGATTTCTGTTCATTGTGGGCAACGTGATGCTCATAGAAGTCTATATGCCTGATCTCGTGGGACCTGTAAGATGACTCTGGAAGCGCTCTCTATGAGTACAGTGAGGCTAACGTGTTGTCATTGTAGGCTCCTTCCTGGCTATACTATAGTTTTGCTCTGGGCATGTGGATGTGAGTATATGGCTACATGGTTGATGTGATAAACCACTTCTAATAGCGTCCCAAGGTATTCTACGCTGGACAACGTCGATGGAAAACAGGCGCGCAGAACGGGGACATCCAGCGGTTTGGGAGAGCTGTTCGAGTAAGTGGCCAGCCAGGCATAGAATGCAAGGCTCTAACTCTCTCTAGCCACGGAATCGATTCTCTGAACTGCACTCTGGCTAGTCTTCTCGAGACTGCTGCCATGGGCTATGGCTCCTCTCAGCTTGGTGCTTACACTGCTCTCGTCCCTTGCCTCGCAATGTACTTTTCGACCTGGGAAACCTACCATACCCATACACTCTATCTCGGCTACTTCAATGGCCCCACTGAAGGCCTTCTTATCGCGATCGCCATTATGATTGCCTCTGGCATCTATGGCCCTCAGATCTGGAGCCGACCAATCGTTGAATTCCTGAACTACCCGCAGATCTTTGGGAACAACTCGATGAAGGATCTCTGGGTCCCCATTCTCCTCCTCTCCTTCTTCCTCGGACACTTGCCAGGCTGCGTGCTCAATGTCATTGCTGCTCGTAGAAAGCAGAACCTTCCGGTCGCGCCCGTCTTCAAGGAATGGGTGCCGATGATTGTATTCACGGGCTGCAACATTGCTTGGCTTTTCTCTCCGTATTCGACGCTTTTGTCGGAGAACCGACTAGTCCTCTACTGCTGGACTATCTCGTTTGTCTTTGGACGCATGACGACCAAGATCATTCTCGCTCATCTGTTACGGCAGCCATTTCCCCACTGGACGGTGCTGCAGATTCCGCTCATCGGCGGCGCAATCCTAGCCAACCTTCCCCGCCTGGGATTCCCTATGGTGAGCGCCTGGGTGGAGCTACTGTACCTGCGCCTCTACCTTGTGTTCGCCTTTGTTGTGTACATGCACTGGGCCTTCCTCGTAATTAACAGGATCACCACTTTCCTCGGAATCAACTGTCTGACGATCCGTCGCGACAAGTCGGCAGCAAGAGACAGGGCTTATCGTGAATTTGGCGAGAACCAGCCCCTCAACTCAAACTCTGATCCCAGCAAAGGGGGTATCAAGAGCCATTGACTATCTTCCTATGGTGCGTGTGAACAACGCATCTGATGGAATAACTACCTTTGTGTTCGCGATATATAAAATGGCTGCCCAGTCTATGTTCCCTGTTGAATACTTTGGACCTTAGACTGCGCAACTGGAGTTGGCGAGAGCAGAAAACTCGGGCTTTTCTATGATAACCAGACCCGAGCTTTGCAGCATCATTTTCTTTTTCTTCATCTGCTGGTTACCTTGGCGACGTACATGTCCTCCCATATCTACGATTCTAATGTCCCCCCTTGGATTATGCCACCAGCATTTAGGCTGATGAACTTACGACATGAGTGGATGGATGACGCGGACGCAGAACAGTCGTCCCTAGTCAAGCTTTTTCCGGTATATAGTTCGATGATAGACAGTATAATAGCTCCTAATGAAATGATAGAGTTGTATAGAGTACAGAATATTGATTTTGGACTGTAGCACTCTATGCAGTAAACGCAGAGTGACCATTAACTGCAGAAGATGCGCACCATGAATGAGATATACCCATCAACGAAGATCATGCGATGACCGAGACTAATTAATTTGAACACCTTACTAAGGTAGGCTCAGTCGAAGACTGTGTCTCATTCCCATATGCCCCCACAAAGAAAACCAATTTATGGCCAGACTTTCATCATTATCAGATCGAGTTTCAGCATTCCATTGCATCGATGGTAGCATTATTTTTCTTTTATAAAAGCGATATATCAAGATCTGGCCTATTGGCTCAATGGTAGAGCGTCGCTCTCCTAAAGCGAAGGTTGTGGGTTCGAGTCCCATGTGGGTCGGAATATTCTTTTTTGTTTTCCAATTTTTGAACCCATCACTTTATAGCAGTTGTCGATTAGCCTTTTCCCGCGGTGGCATGCTACACCCCACTCCACTTTACTCTGCCGCAGCTAATTATATATCTCGAGGTTTCGGCTGTACGCTCGTGTAGGAATGTGGTAGAATGGTGTGCATGTGGCCTAGTATAGTTCAACTGTGCTTATGTAGTTATTCCGTTGCGCGCCTTTTGTTTGTCCAGACTTCTGAGTAAACATAAATGGGATTCTAGTCTATATAATTATTCATCTCTGTAAGATTCGTGGTCTCCACCAAGATGAGGCCAAAATCAGATCATCGGAAAAGAAATGGCCGTCGATGTACTTCGAGGTCCATCTTTTCCGGGTCCGATAGCGTATAGCATAGCACTGCATGGTGTCCATCCCCTAACATCTCCAGAGACGTGTCGCGCACACGAGCATATTCTGGAATGAAGCCTGCTACCTCACCTTCACTCTCGATGGTAACCACCTGTCGCGCCAGAGTTGCGAAGAATCGAGAGTCATATGGCCCTTCGCAATGGGGCCAGGAATCAAGAAGACCTAATGCTCGTTGTCGAGTGGGGAGATCTCGACACCGAAGACTTGTCCAGCCTAGTGGAGCAATGATGCCCATGTCGGCTACTATCTTGGTGAGATCCTGGCCGTACTCTGCCCTCATGCTGTTTATGATGCGCTCGCAAAGGTCCACGAATGTTCGGAACTGTGGTAGATAGTAATCATATACGAGCTCTGACAGGCTAAGTACGGTTTCCAGATCCACCATTAAGACAATATGATGAAGTCTTATCGTATCCAAGCTGCGTGCTTCTTTGATGGTCATCTTGGTTGGATGGAATCGTGCGCTGAATGCCTCAAAGGCCGAGATATGTTTCATTAACTGAGTCCGTAGCTTGTGGTGCTCGATGGATAGTTGAAGGACGTCGGTCATTGGATTGCAGAGCAATGACCGGCAGGTGGTTCGAAAGCGGAAGATGACATTTCCTAAGGGATCTAGCTTGCCTTTCACGTCCTCCAAGCTTTGGAAGTCGAATTCTTGGTTGAAAATATCACTAGTCAAGTAGCCGTTCTGTGCTCCCAATCTAGTAACGGAGCCAGATACTTTGAAGAACGCTGATTGAGCATCCAGCTGTGCGAACGCTTGCAGAAGTGCCCTTTCGGCAGTAGATTCTTGGGCCGGCTGGAATACTTTTGACATTACAAGGGTACGTGCCTCGTTCCCCTTGCGGTTCGCCAAAACCTGAAGCCCGTTCTGGAGATGAGCGAATGCTTTTGCCCGATTGCCCTGAAGGTATTCAAAGAAAACAAAGGTGACGCAGCACATAAGCACAGCCAAGCGAGCCTGGGGATCGTTTGACTGCAGGCGTTTTTGTAGGGCAGAAATGGCCCTGTTGTACTGCTCGAGCGCGAAACGATGGTGGTCATTACGATCCAAGTCAACTTTCTGCACAAGCCTTCCTCTAGCTTCGGAGTCTTGATGCAAGGCCCCTAGAGCAACAACTGCATGGCATACAGCGGTCTCGGCTTGGCTCATCTGGAGTGCCAGTCGCTGCCAAAGTTCCGAATCAAAGAATCCCACCATTCTAGGCACCGTATGTGTTTGGAAGTAGGTAAAACATCGACGTTCGTCTGAACTCATTCCGGGGAGACAGACTCGCAGCTGAAACTTTGGGCGATTAGCATTGTGCAAATGCTCGCCGACTCTTGTTGGAAGTCGAGTGAAATCGTACCCATCACAGGTCCGTCCGGTGGAGGTGCAGTTCTTGCACGCTCCAGGAGCCTCATCGCATTTGACTCTTCTCGTCCGACAGGTTCGACATCCGGTGCGGGACTTGGGAGCGTATTGTCTCCGTCTTTTAGTTTCCATTTCGGACAGTCACGAGCAACGGGAATTCTGCAGAAGCATAAACTTGGACCCTGAGTCAGACCATCGAGTGCAGTGATTAGCTCACATGCTAGTCGATTATGGTAACTAGGGGCGTTAAGGCATAGCTTAGTAAGGTGATGGTGAAGCTCTGTTGGTCAATAGATCGCCACTATCCCTGACCGGCAGCAATAGCGCTAGTGCACTTAATGCCTCTCCAACCAGCATCAGTATTAATCTGCAGCAGTCAAGGCTGAGCTTGTCTTGCCTCGATAAGTCTAATTCTGTGGGGAAGGTATACTGGCTTCATTCGTGGAATAATCCTTGGTTTGTTCGCCTGTGTTAGCGATGCCCACAGATATATATACCTGACTGAAATAATACAACCATGGAGTACTAACTCTTGACTGTCATGAAGAGAGATTGTTTTGCACTGTAGATGTGACGAGCACAGTATCGAGCAGAAATATAGATGAAGGAGAGCGTAGCATTAGCCTGGAATTAATGATGAGGCTCTGGGGCACCTGATGCCCTAATCCCCTATCACCGCAAGGGAGGCGGGAGGAAGGAGGATCTTCTTCCTTTCTCCGCGACCGGCATGACTGGTCCTCTGTTCCCCACGCCAATGAGCGTGGTAGTCGTACTAAATTCTCCGGCTTTCTGTCCGGACAACCGGTGATCTCGAAACATGTCCGGTGCTCGAGATAAGTCTTCCCCGCTTTGATAAAGTCTGATAACTGTCGTGTGTCGCTGATAAGGTGGCAGCCATGCTAAAAAGTCCATACATCTAGATCTCCATGTCCACACGAGGATGTTTTGGCACAATTTATTCTTTGAATCCCTTAATACCTAGTGCTCCTAATAGGTCATACTACACAGCACAAGGTCCCTAATCAGCATGGACAATTCCATAAAATCTGCGGCGCCCATTGCCCAGTCCCTTGATGATAAAGGGTCTGGCAATATTCGGGTCCAGAATGCAGATGAATTGCGCCTGGCGCAGATGGGTACGTTTAATGGTACCCTAGCCTCTAAGTCCACACATCTAACGAAATTACTACTTGCGATACAACAGGCCATAAGCAAGAGCTGAAACGCCACTTTTCAGTATGGAGTCTCATTGGTCTGGCTGCAAATTGTACCATCTCCTGGACTGGTGAGTTAACCATTACACTCTTGAACAAACATGTATGCTGGACGCCAAACAATCTAACCCAGATTTTAAAAGGCCTTGGTCTGGGTCTCATCACTTCCATCAACGCTGGCGGTCCCGGTGCCCGTACGGAGCCCCGTAACTCTAGAACAATGCCATGAGATTGACCTTCCCAGTTATCTACGGATTTATCTTCGTCTTCATCCTGCAATGCTTCCTAGGAACATCACTAGCAGAGTTTGTCTCTGCGTATCCAGTCGAAGGTGGGATGTATCACTGGATTGCAGCCATTGCTCCGAAACGGTACAGCAATGTGTTAAGTTTTGCGACTGGCTGGAGCACAGTGTTCGGCTGTATGGACCTCTACAATATCTGCTAAAGTGATCTGATGCTGATGTCTATAGGGATATTTACCACTGCCTCTACGAACCTCGTTTACTCGTCAAACTTCATCGCCCTCATTGCCTTGTACAGACCCAACCTTGTTGTGAAGCCTTGGATGACTTTCGTTGCGTATCAAGGGTTCAACGTCATAACCTCTGGAATCGTCATGTTTGGCAATAAGTGGATGCCAGCAATTAACAAGTTCTCGTGTTGGTATAACTTTCTCAGTTTCTGTGGCTCACCTGCTGATATGATTGATGGAACAGTATGCTACCTTCAACTAGCCTGGTTCGCCATCCTGGTCACCGTCGCAGCCACTGCTCCCAAGCACAACGACACAGAATTTGTCTTTCGAACCTGGATCAACGAAACCGGCTGGAAGAACAATGTCGTCTGTTTCATAACGGGCCTAGTCAACCCTCTGTACAGTCTAGGCGGCCTAGATGGGATCACTGTATGTATTCCAGTTCGCGTTGCATGGAAGTAATCACTAATTTAGAACTACAGCACATCACCGAGGAAATGCCAAATGTAAGTATCACACTTTAGCTCCTGGTCAGAAGCTAAACTATACACTGCAACAGCCAGGAAGAAACGCTCCTTTAGCCCTAGGTACGCCAAAAGCCCCCGTTCCTCTAAGAATATACTAACGCAACTGTCTTCTTAGCTTGCACACTCGCCATAGCTTTCGTCACCGGCTTCACCTACCTTCTCAGCCTCATGTTCTCCGTCCAGGACTACGCAAGCCTCGCCGACTCCCCAACAGGTCTTCCCCTCGCAGAGCTCTTTCGCCAGGCAACCCAAAGCCGCGGAGGGGCCTTCGCCCTTGTCTTCCTTCTCTGGGTTGCAGTCGGACCATGCGTGATTGGCTCACAGCTGAGTATGACTGAACTGCCTCTTCAAGCTACGAATCAACCATTTATATATTAACGATGTAACTGCAATAGGCACCGGGCGAATGCTCTGGGCATTCGCCAGAGATGACGGACTTCCTTTCTCCAGATTGTGCGCTTCCATGTCAGACCATATAGTCCGAATAACGGATACTAACCTTATCTTTAGCTGTTCCAAAGTCAACAAACGATTCGGAGCTCCCGTCAACGCCCAGCTATGCGTGGGTATCATAATCGCCCTTCTAGGCTGTATCTACCTCGGCTCCAGCACCGCATTCAACTCGATGATGAGTTCTGCTGTGTACTAACCCCTCCCCTTCCTACAACCCCTTAAAATAACAAGCAAAAGTCCCCCGAAATACTGACTTGCCCCGCAGAACAATCAACAACATCGCCTACCTCGTCCCCATCCTCACAAACGTCCTCCTTGGTCGCAAAACCATGCACCGTGGCCCATTCTCATTAGGATACGTATCGGGAATGACGGTCAATATTATCACTGTTGCATGGCTGGTCTTTGCGATTGTGTTTTTCTCGTTTCCTTATGATATGCCTGTTACTGGTGAGTTCCATGCTATACTTTTAGCCTAATTTGTGTTGATATCGAAACTTATCCGTGCTAATTTTTACATGACAGCCTCGAATATGAATTACACGTGCGTATGTGTCGGTGGGTTCCTGTTGTTGGAGCTATTGTGGTGGATTGTGGCGGGGAAGAAGTATTCGAGACGGATGGAGAAGGTAAGGGAAGAAGAGAAGAATGCTTCGCAGGCGGTGGTGGTTGATCTTGTGGGGAAGAGCTGAGTTTGTGGGTTGGTTGTTTGTCTTGCATGGATTGACTAAGGGTTTGTCAAGATTAAATTTATGACCTATGATTGTGTTTTTATTAGGAATAAATGGGATGTTCTGGACTATGATACTGCATGTGCCCCGTACATGCATATATGGCTATTTATGACCATTGAGGCTATTTGAATCCTTGAAGCTAAATAAAGTATACTGTGCATATGCAATTCGGATGACGGGAGAAAGTAAATGTAATAACAACGTCGCATTTCTTGCATGCCTGCAGTGCAAGGTGGCTGACGTGTTGAAAGTCAAGTCATTATTGTTCTGAGTACTGAGCTAGAAGTCAATTAAACGCCCATATCCGCAATAGGGAATATGGCGGCCACATATAGCGTCCGATGGACGAATTGTGGAAAGATGATTAGCGGTCTCTAAGCCTCTCAGAGCTTCGATCCTTTATTTCAGTTTCGTAAGCAAGACGGCACCTTCAGCTGCAAGTGAAGATGCATCTGCTACCTTCCACATGAATGTGGTAAACTTTGCGCATGAATATATAGCAGCTCAAAGGCTGCATTAGTGCTATCGCTTGTCTAGTCGATTTCGACCCTACATTTGCAGGGGTTGTTGTCCCTACTTGGATCGTCACCCAATGCAATAATTATCCGAGGCAGGCGTTAACATCGTCGAGTCCGTTATATCAAATAGGTGTAGCTAGATATTGAGTCCAGTGATATGCTGAGATTAACACAGTCTCCCGAATAAGAAATCCTTGACGACTGGTGAGCTGGAAAATTCAGGGTTCAAGAGGACACAGCTATGCCAATTGATGTTAGCTATCAGCCACGGACAAAAATCATGTTCCTGCTGCTTACTTCAAGAAATATTCCAATCCAACCCTGCGGGACTCAAGAAACGAAGGGCGAAATTTGACTGGGTGTCATCCGTCAGTCAGTTTCATGACTCGTGTGGATTGTCTCAGACGTACATATAACGCTCTTGGGAGGAAGAGGAGGTAAGGCATTCTTCGCATGTGGGAAGGATGCCACCAATCGTTGTCGCAAGTCGTCGAATTCGGAGTATCTAGGGACAGAAATGTTAGCTAAGACCAACCATTGAGTGCATTTCCCAATCTCACCTTAAACGAACGGTGATGGGACCACCCTGCAAGTCATTAGCGCATGAATCTCCTAAGAGCATGGTGAGATAGCATCGCAAAGCAATGACGAGAGCCTGGAGAGAGAACGCTGACGTACATCCAGTGTCTGTATCCTGCAATTCCACACGACATAGGATCCGATGCCCGTCTTGCCTTGTACGACGACATGATCATCGACAACCACACTTTTCGCCCACAAACCACGACTAGTCTCGCAATCTGGATCCTCTGTATGGTCCTCTAGTGTAATGCCTGGCGCCTGGTCGAGAGAGATGTGTGAAGCCCTGGATGCGTTTCTATGGTGACTCCAATACGGCGGAACTATGCCGGACACCGGACGGTCCTTATTCGAGAGGTCCTGTGCCCGAGGAAGGATCGATCCGTTGCTCACAGCGATCCCGTCGGAGAGGGACGCAGCTATAGTATCATTGTTTATGATGTCCGAAGGAGGGGACGAGGATTGGGTAGGTGAGGAAGGGCGAGGTTGGTGCGGAGGCACGGAGGCGATGTCCTCATTCGCTGGCTCCATCCATCTAGATATTCGGTGGACGGGACAACTGCGAGCCTGGCTGTCACTAATAATAGGTTGGTAAACGGCGTGCAACCACGAAAGAGGAGATGAGTGGCGGGGGATGGCTAAATGTTTGGTCACTTACGGGAATTACTAGTGAAGCTTGCTGGTACAATAGGAGGTCTGTGTACTGCGTTTCAAAACCACAGGGTGTCAGCCCGGATTAAGGTCAGGTATAGCTCGGTATGATACCCGAGAGTGAGAGAAGCGGAGACTCTGAAAGGAGGGGAAAGGGATGTTGATAAGATAGAGTGTCTCAGATGGGGGAGGGATTGCTGCTTGAAGCCCATGGATTGACGATCGATATCAAGCCATTGCACCGGCCACGCTCCGTGTTCCGAAAGGAGCCAACGGGGATCACGGGACCACGTCGCCCAACGCCTTCCCAGAAGGAGCGAGTCATGTGCTGCTTATCTAGCACCCGCAAAGACATACTGTAGTTACTGTAGATCTGTTCGATATGGGTGAAAGTAGGATAAATTACCACAAGACATCTAGTTCGAAGATTATGCTTTTTGTTTGAAAGAGATCTCCATTCTGCATCAAGAATGAGACCCAAAAAAAGGTCACGCAGGAAGCTTTCTTTGTGCAGCAGAAGCAAGACTCAAAATCTCTCAGGATTAGACTAGTTAATCTGGATAATCCAATTCCGGCCGCATTATTTCCCGCTAGCCAATTTGGCGCAGACTAGTTCATTCCTCCTAGCCCCAACTGGGGCTAGTGACCAGGGTCCACGCTAGAAAAAGCCAAGAGTAGCCTTGCCCAATCAGGCATTCTCCAGTATTGGAGGATCGCCCAGTCGGGGTCCTTCAACTGAGACAATGCGGGTTCCCTCCCCCCAATCCTGCTCCAGCCGAGGTGCGGTTGCTTTCCCCGTCCCCGTCGGCTGTCAGTTATCTGGAAAGATTCACCCTATCAACTGGGTCTCTTTCTGAGACATCCTCACACCATCAGAGGCTGGTCTGCTGCTTTCTGTTCCATGCAGAAGTCAGGCGCGCTGGCAAATTCTCCCAAACCTGCAGTCAATGGCTGAAGGATAACTAAACATAGCAGCAAAGCAAGCAGGGAGGAAAGAGGGGCCATGTTACCTGACAGGCTAAATCGATATTGCAACCCGCCAACGAGGGTTTAGACAGAAACTCAGTCCTATTTGCTATCGCACTGTATGGAGCTTTTGCTAGATGACTTTCCAATCGGCTAGTGGTACCAACTCGACCGGACTCTCTTCCGGCGTTTCTTGTCTTGCTCCCTCGCCTCTGTCTTCAACCTGTTTTGGCCCCGTCGTTGTCATTCCCCCCGGTGGGTAAGAGTCATACGGTCAATGGAACCGGACTCCAGTCATGAAAAGAAAATAAGAAAGATGGAGACTAGCCACTCACTTAGCTTTTGCCAACCCGGCCTGGAATTTGATGGCTGGATCCAGAAGAAGCCGTCTGGAGCTTTAGGGAACTGATAGCGCCGCCACCCCAAGCTGACCTCGCGTAACGGGCGAAAAGTAGTACGGTGTGCGTGAATACTTATACCGAGCTTGGAGCGCCAGCTTTTTCACTATTTATCGCTTGCCCTCTTGGCTTTCTGATTTCTTTTCTCTTGGTTCTCCCTCTGGCAGTCCTGAGCTCTCGCTATTTTCCTATTTGAGTTCCCCGTTGTTGATATCACCAGCAGCTCACTCCATCAAATTGGCATACTACCTGTCCAAAACTCTACTACACTTCAAGCTGCCTTAGACTGAACACGTATGTGCGAGGCTATCATATCCCCCAGATTCCCATTCATTAGTTACAGAGATCAACACTGACATTTTGCATCATCGTCACAGTTCAAGGTCCTTTCATCTAGTATCCCTCAAGTTCCGCTGTCGTACCCACCGCTTTTACGCCACTCGATATGCTTCTCCTTCGTCCCCTCATTGCTATAGCCTCCGTGGCTGGCCTGGTCCTCTCGCAAAACACCTCCTCCTCCTCCATTGACCCCAATAGCGTCCCGATTGATACGAGAAGTATGTTCTCTCTGCAGGCAATACTATGGTGCCAAATGTCTCATCTGACTGTGTAACGATAGAGCAATGGTGTCAGTCTCAGACCTCGTCATGTCCATTACTTTGTTATCAGTTGCCAAACACATCGGGCTCACCCAAAGAAAACACATGCGACGCTGTAAGTGCGAATAATCAAAAACCTATTCATTCAATCTGCTTCATCTTGACTAATGCGATGGGTCTGAATGCAGAAAACTCTCCAATACCAGTGCATCTGTAGCAATGGCCTGAGTCCCAACTCATCTCAGTACTCACAGACCATCCCATACTTTATTTGCACTGAAGAGAATGACGAATGTGTCACTAAATGCAATGGTGATTCGAGCTGTCAGTCAAATTGCCGGTCTGAGCACCCCTGTGGTGCACAGAACCCCAAGCGTGTAAACGTGACGTCCACCGCTGCCTCCACCACTGCCGCAGCCACAACTTCCCTTCCGCCATTTACTGGAGTCCCTGATAAGGGAGCAGCAGCCAGGCCGTCAACTGACCTTGGTCAGGTATATGGCCTGGTTGTAGTTGTGGGAGCTTTCCTGGCTGGGTTTACGACATTGCTTTGAGACCAGGCTACAAGTCAATACGAAGTTAATGCCATCTCTACCAAGTCCAAGGTTGGAACATTTGTAACGGGGCATGCCACATTTATGTAATAGTCACTTTTCGCTCATGTTTTGTTGATCTCTGAAATAATCTTCTTTCTTCACTGAGAGCGCTCGCAGCTAATTGATGGGGCGTCTTCTTTCCACGTCGACACAAGTTATGTAATGGGAATTCATGAGACCATCCACTCTTTCCAGATCTAATAAAGACTTTGATCCAGGCGTGCTACATTTTAGGCATTAGTGCGCAGTTTCTAATGTCCAAATGAGATACAAACAATTTACACAGCTGGGAGCAAAAGGCTGCAGGGAATGGCATCTACTGATAGCTATGTTGCGAGACGAGCGACTGATTACCCCCGAAAGGTATCACTGGGCATTTGTTGCTTTTGAATCAAACGCAGCAGTATGGTGAAGACAAAGTAAGTCGAGTTTGAGTGGAGATGTACCGCACGATGGTCATTTACATATTCTTAACACTCCTTGGAAGAAGAACTTCTCCACCTTCTGCTCTTAATGTACTAATACTGTTCTTCCTGGGACATTCTACCAAGAAGAGGGCCACTGTCGACGACTGGGAACGAGATTTACTCAACTTTTACTTGATTTTATTTACCGCAAAGCATGACTTGTGTGCATCTTTTTCTCAGAGAGGTCAACAACATCCGCACTCAGAGCAACAACAACCTCTCTTCTCCAAGTATTGGCTGCAGTTGTCCTGCTTCTTTCCTATCTTGCATTCACTCTTTCAATGTGTTCAGCAACTTCTTTGGCAACTCACAACACTGGCGGGTCTCCGGTTGGCCGGGGCAGGTCACCCCAGTGTTCCTGCCAGTTTGGTCGACACGGAACCTATTCACTTCTTCCTTTGCAAGACCTTTCCTTGTGCTGCTTCTCTTTCTCCCCCTCGGGGCCAGTCTTATACTTCTCTCACACATCGAAAGGACACGATCCATTTACTTCATCTCCGGCTACTACTCGTGTCTCTTCATCACCTCTCGTTTCTTAAAGCTATCTCTCATCCCATAACCACCTTGCCTTTTATCTTGAGTCTGAAGGAACGAGTAGCATCCGGCAAGGTGCTCTTTGCCTTGTCTTGTGTCTGACCACCTTATCGACGTCTCTGAGATTGGGCTTCGTGAATTTCGCTTTCTGCATAAACAAAATGCCTGGTGACCGCGTAAGAGCAGTCCTCATCCTCAGCTATAATCCTACTCTAACAGCTACTTTAGGGATCCCGTTTCTGTCGTTTTTGCTCCAGACCTGGGCACGAAGATACGCAGTGTAACTTCCTCACCCTTTGTCGGGGCCTCTATGAACTTGTACGTTGAACTGGCTGTTACAGCGCGGCTACTAATTCTCGTGCAGTCTCTCATGGTATCGCACCGGCCTGGAACCAGAGTTAGCCTCACGGAAACTCAAAGAGCTCTCGATAGAATCGTGACCCGTCGTAACAGAAACAGAAGGCGAGCTATAAGACGGCGCGAGCGTTTTCGAGCAAGAATCACGGATGTTGTAAGTACTCCGTGAGCTGAATTGTCAATATTGCACCGTGCTGAGTACATCTGTTCAGGCAAGGCGTGGAAACCATGCTCTGAATATTGTATGTACTCTGCAGCTATTTGACAGGGGCTAGCTATGAGGTTACGCTAAGGCCATCTGATATAGAGCCGCCGCGGTCCTATCCATGCTGCCGCAACAATGCGCAGGTAAGATACATGATTTTTCCTGGAATATGGTGACTGATGAGTTAAGTATTCCATCAACCATGCTTAGACTGCCTGCTATTCCCCCGGCTGCGTAGGTGGTCTATGATCCTTATACTATGTTCTCCACTAACTAAGCTGGTTAAGACTGACCTCTGGCCCCGCGAATGCTCAAGCCATTCCAGCGGAAGAAATGACGTTGCCTGTACACCACCTACCGAGCCTACCCGCCCCCGAGGCAGAGAGTGTATCATCAGTCCCAACTCCAACTAGGTATGTTGTTTCGAAGCCACGCTACTCGAAGAACAATTATCTGACTGTTGTATTAGTGACACTGACGTGACTATGGGAGTCGAGTACGTATAATCCCAATTTTTAGTGCTGATCTCCGTAATAACACGCCAGAAGAGAGCTCGAAATCAGTACAAATGCAGTAGATGCCAGGTAGGGCCCATGTGGAGTATGGTAGAGAATTATACTGATTGCAATTCTCTTTAGTCGGTCACAATCTGTGGATGATCTGCTCGTTCTCGATACGCTCGACACAGCCGATGAGTTCGTGATGATGACCTCAAGTCAGACTAACGAAATAATCGAAAATCATTGCGCAGAGTCGTTTACTATTGTGTAGCAAGGCCTGTTGTGACTAGGAAGGACTGGAAAAATATCACTCAATAATTCGCAACGTCTGTGACAACTGCTGCAAGTCCCAGCCATGAGAGGAACGAGGTCATCGATACTAGTAGCCAAATGCGGGCGTTATAGGCTGCTTCGCTTTTCTTGGAGGCAGCTCCATCTTTGTCACTATACATGACAGTTGTTTTGCAGCACAGCTACGTCTTCGCAGTGTTTCTAGGGCTTTTAATGGGGACATGGACTGTTGTGAACCTAATGGTAACGCAGAATAGCTGCGAGCCGCTGCAAGGGATATTCGGGAGAGACTTTGTATCTAGAGATACAGCCTGAAAAAATATACCATATTGGGCGTGACTATTTAGGTACAACCAGGAATTCGTGTAGTGTCTGGAGACCAGTTAGTATGCAGGAGCCACTGGCCTGATGGTGGCCTGAGGAATGAAGTCTAAGGATAGCTACGAGGCGGTCATGAAGGCGGTGAACGCAGCCTAGGCAGCTACGTCGATAGATCGGGCCAAATGATGCGGCCGTCGGTGACCTTTGCGATAGATCATCTCACCCGCACATCCCACCCTGCCGGCTTGCATACTGCTGTTTTGATTTGCAGATTGCATTTTATACTGCTAAGTGGTTGATCTTGCTGGATCACCCTCTAAGAACTTAAACGAAGCGGTTTCCTGACACCCGCGGACGCCTACACCTCAAAAGACCCGCTTGTTCTCCACTTCGCCTCTACCTGTGCGGCGTTATCACACCTGATTTACTGCATTTCAACGTCAGGAGTTTCGTGGATACTCGACTACACTTCCGGAGGCTACGGAACGAACAAATCTCCTCATCCGATTTGCTCTTGGCCCCACACATCGTTCTATATTACCTCGCGTGTCAGTAGCCGAAAGCCTCACAGACCTGACGACATGGATTACACGCAGTCAGACCCTTTCTATGGGGTTGTTCCAGCTCAAAGTGCTGGGTCAGTCACTGGTGCCGGGGGCGTGGACTTAGAGTCTTTGGGTGGAAATGTAGCAGGTCCTCTGGTGAAAGTTGATGGTATGTTGGCTCTGTTGGATTGATCCAAAGGAACAGCGATGAATAACTCTCATTTTCTAGATCCGCCTAAGTTTGAACTCGAGTCATATATTGCGAACTACACCGGTACGTTACGCCTTAGATCACACGCGCTCCTTGCTGTAGCTAACCCCGCTTCTTTCTCCTAGGCCGAACCAGATTCAATCGACTGTTCCTCATAGGCACATGCTCCACTTACCTCTCTGTCGAGGCATTGAAGGCCGCAGTTGCAGAAGCCAAGGGCGGCAGGGACGTTTCCAGATACGAAAATGCAGTTCGGGCACTTGCCGAAGTTGCACCCGGTGACCCTGAGGCAACGCTTGATACAAACTGGGTGGATCATATGAAGAAGTCTGTCAAGGCGGAAACAGATCGACTAGAACATGAGCTCAGAGGCTATAAGAACAACCTGATCAAAGAGAGTATAAGGGTACGTTCGAGTGCATTTGGCAAGGCTACCGGCTGTCAACCGTTTTCTAACCGCTTATAGATGGGCAACGAAGACCTCGGGCAACATTACAATCAGATAGGTGACCTTGTGTCAGCTTCCAAAGCATACTCTCGTATGAGGGACTATTGCACCACACCAACGCACATTGCGTCAATGCTATTCAAGATTATCAATGTCGCAATTGAGCGCGGTGACTGGCTCAGCGTGCAGACGAATGTGCACCGGCTACGCAATCTGCAATCGAAACAAGAGGAGCAAGCCAAAAACGAGCCCAAGATGTCTGCGGCGCTGGGCCTTTCCCAGCTACACTCTGGTGCATATGTGGATGCTGCCAACAGCTTCTTGGCCACCGATCCGAGCTTAGGAGACTATTACAACGAAGTACTCACATCAAACGACGTTGCAGTCTACGGTGGGCTCTGCGCGCTGGCATCAATGGACCGCAATGAGCTACAACGTCGCGTCCTCGACAACAATTCATTCCGCAATTTCCTTGAGCTGGAGCCGCACATCCGCCGGGCGATCTCATTCTTCTGCAACTCTAAATTTCGAGCCTGTCTTGAGATTCTAGAAGCCTACAAGGCCGACTACCTCCTCGACGTCCACCTACAGCGCCATGTCAAGACACTGTTCACACGCATCCGCATCAAGTCCATCCAACAGTATCTCGTACCCTTCAGCCGCGTGACCCTCGAATCCATGACGAAAATGTTCGCCCCGGGAGTCATAGGCGGCCAAGCCGACCCCACAGACTCCAATTCTCCCTTCGTGCAGGAGCTCATCGAACTGATTCAGGATGGCACCCTTGACGCGCGCATCGACTTGGAAAAGAAGGTGCTGGTCTCCAACCAGGTCAACTTGCGCACCGACGTCCAGCAGTCCATCCTGGATAGCTTGGATAATTACATTCGCGAAGCACATATTCGCGTTCTGCGGACTAATATTATCCAAGCTGGACTGGAGGTCCGTTCAGACGAGCGACGACCGAGAGATGACCGGGGAAAGGGTGGGGATACCTTTGGCAGTTTCCTTCCGCGCGGTCCGGGGGTCATGTAATGCTACTCGCTAGTTAGCCAGCCAGCCAGTCAGCTGATAAATGAGATACGACAAAGATTATCAAATTACCATTAGCTATTTGAGATACCTCCTCTTGTACAACCATCTTGTATGGTTCACATAATGCGCAGAAGTAGGTTAATCGATTCACTTTCTTAGTTATGTTGATATGTGGCAAGACCTAGCACGTGAGATACTATATATCTATTGCAGAAACTAGTAGTTTCTCCAAGAACAGTACTTTATTTCTTCTTGTACTTCATAAGTACTGAAGGATTCTGTGGTGTGAAAGATTGGAGTGATTCCTATTCGTTCTCAAATAGAGAGAAACACCTTTGTTTGGATCCGATGCCGAGAAACATCAGGTCATTGAGT